AGAGGATGGAGCAGGGCTCACGGTGGGCGCAGGATGGCTCATACCAACGCTGAGCTGGGCCTGTCCGAGCAAAGCGGAGTATAGATTTCAGCCAAATTAATTGACACGTGATAAGCTGCACGGTCTGATGAATTTTCCGTGGGACAGCAGCCTCTTCCCACCGATTTCCGGCATGTCCTGCAGAAAGTTGGCTAAACTTGCGGGGTGGAGGCTGTGCAGGGCTGCTGCACCCCGGGTCCCTGCCATGGTGATGCCCAGCAGCAAACACCCCTGTGCAATGCTTTACAGCTGTGATTCAGGGCTCCCTAAAAATTTTGTCCCATCTTTTATCATTTCCCAGCTGCCTCCCTTTAACACACTCCCTTAATTTTTTATTAAATACGCTGATTTTCTAGAAATCTGTTGGCAGGGAGGGACTGCACTGACACTTGAATTTTTAGGCACGGGACTCGGGAGCCCTGAGCCTTTCCAAGAGGAAGCAGCTTGCTCTTTTTTGCTGGTTTTTTTCCCTTTTTTTTGAAGGGAGTAACCAGCACTTCATTTATCTGTGGGTTTGTTATGACTCTGGGCTAACAGATACCACACTTAGCAAACTCTCACTCTTCGCTAATGGAAGATACTTTAATCTAATTGCCCCGTATCACCCAACACCGGAGCCTCGAGCATCCTCCTCCCACGGCAGCGCACGCAGAGTGCTCTTCCTCTGCCCGAGCAAGCCACAGCTCGCAGGGATGCTTCCCCATTTCCCAATTCCCGCATGGCTCCATGCCCAGCCAAGCCAGGACCGTGGGAGGTGGGAGCCTGGGAGGACTCACAGACACCAGATTTACTTGTGTCAGCCTCGCCTCGGGGTGCCAGACCCCGGAAGGAGTTGGGGAGCGGGAAGTAGAAAGGGGGGGTTAAACCACAGCAGTCAGGAGATGGAAGTTGCTGGAATAACAGTGACGGGTTGGGAAAAATGAGGTGGGAAATCCCGGGTTACACAGCCCCGGCTCTTGGTTGTTCTGGCGCTTGCAGCTGGGGGAGGGCAAAGGAAGGCGATGCTCCATCTTTGCACCCCATCATGGGGTTTGGGGGTCTCCTGCTCAACTGGCGGCTGTGCCAGGAGCTGGATCCGGTGCGAGTGGTGCTGAGGGGCTGTGGCTGCGGGATGCTCTCCCTGGGAAGCCAGCCCTGCCCAGCCCTAGGTACTGAGCCACGCTGAGCCTCGCTGGGCACTGTGGGGTTTGTCACAAGGCTGTTGAGCAGTGAATTGATGGGTGCGTTTTAAAAATCCAAAGATTTTGTCCTTAAAAATGAAGCTTTAAAAGAATTGTTAGGACTCAAAAAGAAAATACATAACCCACCGAAACCTAGTGCTTGCCAAAGTCTTGAGCAAGGCACTGGAGAGTCCCATGAGTCCCAGGATTTCTGAAAGGTCCTAAACCAGACTTCACATCACAGAGGCGTGGGGAGAATACTTTCCTTAACTTGATATACTGGAAGGCTGAGAAAGGCAACCCCTGGTTCTGTTCAAAATTCATAAGGGGGAGACAAGGTTTAGGAGGATGAGATCAGCCAACTGGACGATGTGATAACCAGGAGCCTTACACTCCATCCCATCGCTACTGATAATACTTCCTTTGTTAAATAAATCAGCTTTACATTTAATGGGATTTGAATTTTTTCCCCCTCATATATCCATCAAGTTAAAAGTAAATTTATTTTGCCAATAAAATTCAAAACATTGCTTTGGTATATTTTTATTTGAATTTCAGTCTCAGACCATAGAGCGTTTAACATCAGCTGTGACTAAAAGTTAATAATCACTTCCTAAAAACTGCATCTTTCACCAGTTTGTAACATAATACGCAATTTAAGTACCCAAATAAATGTTTGTTAAGCTACATAATGACTAAAATCTTTTTGCATAGAAATAATGTGTTCTGCTGGTTAGCTAAGAGAAATGTTAAATTTACCATAAAACGAACTTTATCAACGTGTTTTAATGGTTACCAGCTTTCCTTAAGAAAGTGAGTAAAATGTACAAATGCAAAACAACGGTAAAATGGATTATTTCAATCAAGACGTCTTGCCCGATGATTTAAGTCATCATGAAAATTGGCCATTTAAATCACTTTGAGTTACATCAACCCACCCAGGGCTCCGGTTCCTGCATCTCCGCCGGGACTGCCGCCACCCAGAAAGCTGCTTTCATCACTTGGGCTCCTGCCCGCGGGAGCCCGAGGCTTTAAAAGGAAACATCTTTGTCCCAGACCAGCACAAAGCAGGATCCTCTAATGAGCTCCAGACGCTCCCCGTGCCCTTGCTCCGTCTCCTCCCGGAGTTGCACCGGGAGCGATGAAGTTGAGTCTTGGGAATGGCAGGGGGAATTGGGGGCAGGAATTATTCCCATCACCTGCTACGCACCCCAGGCACTCTTTGTACTCAGCAGGGAGTGAGGCCTGTTTCTCCCCTTGGTTGTAGGAGAAAGCCTAGGGAATTAGCCAAGGGATCCACAGTTGGACCCCAGGCTGCTAACGTAGGTGGCAGGCTTCAGAGTGGGAATACAGCCCAGCTCCCAAAGCCCCGCTCTCCGACAGAGACCAGAAGGCGCCTGGAAATTTCTCAAGTCCTTTCAATATTGCAGAGTTTGCATCTTAGGAAAAAAACCCCTCAGATAAAAAGCCAGAGCATCTGGTCAGAAGCTCTTTTGCAGGGAGGGGTTCCTGCGTCCTGGCCATCCAGTCCCAGGTCCTGGGATGCTGCGGAGGGAACGTGGTCACGTCGGGCTCCCGCTCCACCCATCTTGTCCCGCATCAGGCCCTTGTTCCTGGTCCCACTCCTCATCTACACATGTGTTTAATTGTGGCTGTGGACAGACAAGACGCTAAAAACCAGTGTAAGGCACTTAGGGCGGAACAAAAGCATGTGGTACAAAGCCTCTGTCAGTACAGATTGCCTCAGCTGTGCAGAAATAATCCGGAGGTTGGTCTGAAATTCATTTGGCGGCTCTGGAGATCATCTCTCCCTTCTGGTGGTGGCTCCCAAAGGCGTCTGCATCCCCGTCTCCTCTTGGCTGCGCTCCCGTTGTGCGAAGCACTCAGTGCCTCCTAGCAAAGGAGGTCCTGACCCGCTCAGACTGGGGGTGACTCATCAGAAAAGGCAGCAGGTTTGGGGGGAAAAAAACCCAAATCCGCTGCCTTCAGCAGATCCCCATCAGATCTGCATGGGGGGGAGCTGGAGTGGGACAGCACCGTGTCCCGAGGGGCTGGGGAGACCCCGAGGTGTTGGATCTAGGAGAAGGAGCCGTCAAACGCCAGCTTGCATTCCAGGGAGGGTTTGCCAGTGGGTTTGTTTTTTTTTCTAAACAATATATCTGCATCCAGATTGGCAGTTGCTCCAGCACATTCATTTTGTAAAAAGGCATCCCTAAATGGGAAGAGAATAATTTATACTGACATAAAGCACCTTTATTTGGATATAACTATCTACATTAAGGAGGTTGGATTGCTCTCACCATATCAGTATGGTGTAGTTGAAGCTCTATTACTCGTATATAAGCTATTCCTGGCTCTGCTCCTGATTTATTTGACTAGCAGCTAGGCTGGGTGTGTCTAGATTCATGTTGTGTTGATATCAGAAAATCAACGTTTCCAACGTAATCCAAGGTATGTGATGTAAATCAAGAGGGCTCCAGGGAAGGCAGGGGCATTTTATCAGTGTAAAACGAGAGGAGAAGTGAGCCCAAGGGGAGGATTTACCAAGGAACGTGCTTTTATCATTTTACGACCTGTTGATTTTACTTTTCTAACAATTACTCAGAAGTAGGAAGCAAGGAAAAAATAGACCTGAGCCTAGATGAAAGGGAAGTGGGAGAACCAGGCTGCTTGTTTGAAATGTAAGAGCTGAATAAATACGGGAAGGGTGGCTTCCTCCCACTCGCTGCCTCCAGCCCTGGCAAGGACCTTTCTTATCACTGCAGGAGCCACACGGATGAGACGGCGATTTCCAGCCTCAAACTTGGCCCTTTAAACCCTGCCGGGGAGCTTGGGGATTTGGTTTGCCTCTGGTTTGGTTGGATGCAGTCCTAACCCACAGCCATCGCGCCCATTAGCAAACAGTCTGTGCCCGTTAGGGCCACCACGGCGCTTCCCGTCGCCGAGGGGTGTCACCGGCGCGGTCCGGCAGTGTGGTTTGGGGCTGCAAGGGCAGCGGTGCCAGGGAGATTTTGACCTCCATGGTTCCTCAAACACTTTTTGGGATGAGACAAACCAGTGGCTAAATTACAAATAACAGTTAGGACTCATTACCTGCAAGATTCATTTTTAAAGAGCGATGCTGTGTTTGAATGATGGAATAATGATCCCACTTAGCTTTTTGGTGGGGTTTTAGGCTTGGGAATCACTAAGCAGCAGCTAATGAGGGTCTCGGCATCAGTGGCCAGGTCAAGGTAGGCCGCCTGCTTCCTAGAGAAATGATGCCAAGAGCTTGCTTAAATATGCCTAAAAGAAGCTGATCCGATTCCCCAGGACTTCTCGTTAGCTTCTGAGCTTGCTGCGGGCATGAAAGCGAGACTAAAACCAGCCAACGTGGCCCAGCTCACCAAGGAACCCCCAGCCCATCCTGGCTGGGCAAGCAGGGTCAGGAGGGGGGTTAAGCTGTTCTGCTGCCAGTTCTGGGGTGCAGACCCCAAGCTGTAGCTCAGAACTTGATTCCGTCAGTCGTCTGGTGGTCTCTGCCGGCTGCCTGCTCCTGCTCCAGAGCCATTGCCTGCCCCGCTCTTAGCCCTTATCTCTTAAAATCTCTCTCTGCCGCCTCCAGTGCTTGGGAGGGTGTTTGGCTGCAGAAGAGGCTTCTTCTGGGGTGGCACCAGGCTGGAGAGTGCCTGGGAGAAATAAATCCATTTGTAGTTTGGGAATAACTCCCTCATTTCTTGGGATGACCAATTCGGGTGCTGAATACTCTGACTGAGGAGGAGGCAGCGGAATGGCTCCCCCTGGCCTGCCATTCCATGATCTGGGAGACTGTGGCAGCAGGTTGGTGTCAGGGTCAGAGAAACAGAAAGATACCCATAGGGGAAGGTCCAGGGCAAAGCATCTCGCTCGTGCACTCACCGTGCCCGCGTCAGCTGTGCTTCTCCATCCCCTGCAGATGCATCCCCATGCATTCCAGTACCCTCCGTGAGGTCTGTGATCCCTCTTCATCCCTGGAGCTGGGCATCTTCCCGTGGTGGTAACATGCCAAGGTACAGTGAGACCCCTTGGCTGGTTTTATTCTTTCTCCGGGATTTGCTGACACACCTGGTCCCCAGTCCCAGTCTGTCTTGCCCCCCGTCCCTGTCTGTCCTACCCCTTACATGAGCAGCCTCACTGACCTCTTCTTCATCTCTCTTTACTGGACTCGCCACGGTTTTGGTTTGCACGAGGCCAGGAAGGACGAACACAGCAAGTTTGGGCTGTGGATTTCGTCGTGCTCCTCCTGCTGCCAGCATCCCTCCTCCCCACCCCCTCCCCTTCATTTTATACACAAATTGAGGTCTCAAGGGAAAGTTGTTCTTCATGTGAAACACAGCTCTACAGTTACAGGAGAGAAACCAAGTAACAATGAAAACCCGCAGGGAAATCATTTAATATTTCCAGCCTTCTCACATGGGTTCTTGACACTCGGGTCTGCGGAGGGGAAAAACTGATTTATGCCGTCAGTCGTTAGACAATGTGGAGGTGAGGTCAGGCGCGGGCATTCCTCATCTCTTCCCCGGCGTTCAGAGATCCCTTGGGCAAGGTGGAATCAAAGCATTTCAAATGGTAGAGGTCATGAGAGTGACACTGTAAGAGGTAAAAGAGCACAGCCTCCTGCCTCCTACAGAATAGCTGACACCTATATATCTTCATATTGCCATTGTTTCCGCTTGAAAAATTGCACATCGTTTGTTTTACTTTTTCCTAACCCTCCTCTCTCCTTAAATCCTCTCGATTTTCCGCAGTGATCTATAGGAATCGTTTGTGTCAAGGCTGACGATTATGTGCTACAGAATTTTTATAGGAATAAAAGGCCTAAGCCGTAGGATGGGCTTTAGCCAACAGGTGCCCGGTCTTTCTGCAGCCTCGCCGAGACCCTGTAAATTAAAATCCTGCCTGTCCTTTGGGAATTTTCCTGCACTGATTTGTGGCTGCAGTGAGGGGCTCGGGTCGAGCAGCTCTTGGGC